TAAATTCGAAATGAAATGACGATTGTTAATGTTCTGGAGATAAATTGATTGATTTATGATTTACATATGAATTCAACTTCTTAGGTTGGCGATGTATAAATTAGTAAAATAGAATTTTATTTTTGAAGTAAAACTTCTTAAGTCGCGATGTGATATAGAGTCTGTTTTGATTAAACGTAAAAGAGACAACAGTATATAGTGAGAAAATGAAAGAGAGAGATAAAGTATTAGTGCAAAAGAGAGCAACATATACCTGACAGTGTAGAGTGACAGAGTAAGATACATGAGTATGACGTAACCTCCAAAATTTAGCAACTACCTTTTTAAATGTAAATTTTTGATAAAAGGACAAGAGATACCAATTTTTGTTGTTAATAGAAATTGTAGATAATTTAATTGGCTATAAATTTGCTGAATATTGCAAAATGGTGGGACATTTCGTTTTGAAGTTATAAATAAATAAATAAAAATCGAGCTGGTCCAAAAGTATGAAGCAAGATATACTGATGCAACCTCCAAAATTTATAACAACCTGTTTCATTGCAAATTTTGGGTAAAAGGATATGAGATACAACATTTTGTTATTAACAAAAGTTGTAGATAATTTAATTGGCTAAAAATTTGCTGGATATTGCAAAACATCAGACAATTTGTTTAGAAGTTATAAACAAATAAAAATCGAACCGGTCCAAAAATATAAAACGAGATATATTAAAATGTAGCCTCCTCAATTTAACAACAATCATTTTAGTTCTTATAAATGCCGCCAAGCTAAGCACAGTTTAAGTGAAAATGTCGCACAGAATTATTTGCAAATGCGTTTAGACTGTGACTATACGGGAGCACTTTTTGAATTTTGTCAACTATTTTTTTTTTGAAATTGAATTCGAAATGAAATGACGATTGTTAATGTTCTGGAGATAAATTGATTTATTATTTACATTTGATTTGCTCACAGATATAACAAGATGGCAAAAATAATGAAAGTTACAGTATTTGTAATAATATATTTGAAAACGTTTGAAATTTCTCGAATATTTCATTACGGTACGGGAAGTTTCAGCAATTTGCCTTAAGGCACGATGCCATACACCACTAGTTATTATTATTATTATTATTATTACCTCTTCTCCTCCGGATTTTTTGTCACTCTTGGTTCCTGGTTCCGGACATTCGAAATCAACAGATAGAAAACTGATTAACATTTCATTATGCGTTGGATTTGTCAGCTTTAGTATAATTTTAGAACTTTGTCCAGGTTTTAGGGCTTCGCATGAAATCAGGCGCAACTCTGGTACGTGATAACTAGAAGTGGATGGAAGAAATATTTTTGTCAAAATTAAAACAAAAATAAATAAATAAAAATAAATTCCTTAAGAAAAGTTGCATGAACTTCTCGATACGTATACTTGATCAACTAAATCAATAAGAATTAACCCTTTCGACTGGATGACCGCCTCTCCGGCGACAAATTTCGTATAAATCTCGCAATTCGCGAGTGGAAGTGTTAAAATGCAGATATTTAGGTAAATGTTGAACCATATATTTTGAAAAAAAATTGGCTTTCACTAACAAAGTGATAAATTGATTTCCAATTGATGTCTTCCAAACATACTTAATATAATATGTACTGTTAATAAATTTGTAGTATACGAGCTTAAAAAAGTTTTACTTCAAAAATTGTAGATTGTATCTTTTATGGAATGTGGGGTATCGTTTGAAAGGTCTTTTTGAATAGAATCCGAATATTGATATTAACTATACGGTTTATCCACTAAATATACACTTTTTTACTATTTGTATTAGAATTTGTAGAAGAGGCCTAAAGAAGTTTTACTTCAAAAATTTTACATAGTATCTTTTATGGCATGTGGGGTATCTTTTGAAAGGTCTTTTCGAATAAAATCCAAACACTGGACTTACCTATGTGATTTGTCCACTAAATATACACTTTTTACTAATTTGTAGCAGATGAGTCTAAAGAAGTTTTTCTTCAAAAAATTTAACTTGTATCCTTTATGGCATGTGAGGTATCGTTTAAAACGTATTTTTGAATAGAATCTGAATATTGAAACTAACTATGTGATTTGTCCACTAAATATACACTTTTTACGAATTTGTAACAGAAGAGTCTAAAGAATTTTTACTTCAAAATTTTTATATTGTATCGTTTATGGCATGCGGAGTATCATTTAAAAGGTCTTGACGTGTAGAATAATTTTCACTTTCACTAAAAAAGTTATCAATATGATTTCCAATCGTTATTTTTCAAGTGTACTTATAATATGCACTTTTAATAAATTTGTATCAAACGAGCTTAAAGAAGTTTTACTTCAAAAAATTTAAATTGTATCTTTTATGGCATGTGGGGTATCATTTGAAAGGTCTTTTCGAATAGAATCCGAATATTGAAAATAACTATGTAATTTGTCCATTAAATATGCACTTTTTACGAATTTGTATCAAACAGTCTAAAGAAGTTTTACTTCAAAATTTTTAGATTGCATCTTTTATGGCATGTGGGGTATCGTTTAAAAGGTCTCGACGATTAGAAAACGATATATACAAAATTATATTGCTGAAAATATTAGAATGTTAAAATTTATTGATTTTTTCTTAATACTAGAGGTGTAAAACTTTTTTATGTAGTTTGTGTCTACATAACACACACTTTTTACGAATTTGGAGCAGATGGGTCTAAAGAAGTTTTACTTCAAGAATTTTTGATGGTACTTTTATGGCATGTGGGGTATCATTTAAAAGGTCTCGACGAGTAAAAAACGATTTTCACAAAAACATGTAGATATTGTAATTAAAACGTTATATACATAACCATATATATTGTAAAAAAAATGTTGAATTTTTCTTTTTTTACAATATGTAACATGTAAATCTTTTATAGCAAATACTATATGATTTGTTCACAAAATATATATTTTTCATGAATTTGTATCAAAAAGCCTAAAGAAGTTTTACTTCAAAATTTTTGATGGTATCTTTTATGGCATGTGGAGTATCATTTGAAAGGTCTTTTTGAAAAGAATCCAAATACTGGACTTAACTATCTGGTTTGTGTACAAAGTATAGACTTTATACAAATATGTATCAGAGAGTCTAAAGAAGTTTTACTTCAAAAATTTTAGATTGTATGATTTATGGCATGTAGGGTATCGTTTAAAAGGTCTCGACGAGTAGAAAACGTTTTTTACAAAAAAATGTATATATTGAGATAAAAACGTTATATACACGATCATACTGCAAAAAAATGGAATGTTAAAATTTATAATTTTTTAGCATAGCAGCCTAAAGAAGTTTTACTTCAAAAATTTTTGATGACACATTTTATGGCATGTGGGTTATCATTTGAAAGGTAATTTTTAGTAGAATCCAAATACTGAAATAAACTTCCAAATTTCTCAAGTACTTAATGTTAAAGTAGAATTTATAGGTCTAATTATCTTTGAAAAAAATATATGTATTGGTGTTATGCCTTAAGTAATTCAACTATCCTTTGGGAAGTTAATAAAAATAAAAGTTTAAGTAAAAAAATGTGTCTAAATCTCACTTACCATGCCAATAGATTGATTTTAAACTTGATAGAACTCGGATTGTACTCTGGTTTGATAACATTATGCTCGCATTGACGACACCTCAGAGACTGTTTGATTGATAATAGTTTATGTTGTGGGAACAATCCGGTGACAGATGCTGCTTGATTATCTGGTTGAAATAATCTTTGCTCTACAGTAGTAACTAAAATAATAATAATAACATAAATGTTTATAATTCAATAATAAATTGAGAAGTAAATTAAATATTTATCTATTACCTTCCATCAAATTCAGTGGAGTTGTAAATATATCATCAGGAAGATCATCAACGTCTTCGGAAGCGACAGCAGGAACAATTGTTGGTTTATTACTTGAATGAAAAGCACTGCTCGGTATGGATATATCGGAAGGTAGACCGACTTGCTTGCGAATAATAGCTGCTGTTAAACCGGTTTTATCCTATTTGAAAATAAAATAACCATTAATAATAATAATAATAATAATATATATATATATATATATATATATATATAATATATATATTATATACGAGGTCTGTTCAAAAAGTACCCGGAATTTTCGTTTTTTCAAAAAAATATTCATTTATTCGTCTACATTAATGTGGTCCCCTTCAAAGTAATCCCCCCCAGATATAATACACTTATGCCAGCGTTTTTTCCAATTTTCGAAGCACCCTTGATATTCACTTTTTGATATGTCCTTGAGCACTCTCAGCGATTTTCTTCAATCGAGGAAAACCGCCGTCCTTTCATGGGTCTCTTCAACTTTGGGAATAGGAAAAAGTCACACGGAGCCATATCTGGTGAATTTTTGCACTTTGCAACACTTTATTTCATTTTTTACGCAAAATTTAATACAAATTCTTGACTTTTCAATTCTTCCATTGTAAAAATCGCCGAGCTCAGAAAAAACACGTCGAACCTTAGCGACTACCACAGACAAAGTAAACAGTGAATATAGCTGAAAATTTCATCATACTTTAGGGGCATGTATACCAACACAATAAAAAAAAAATTTGACAATCAGACACTCCAGACCCGCAAATTTAATTATTAGTAATTCCGGGTACTTTTTGAACAGACCTCGTATATATATATATATATATATATATATATATATATATATATATATATAATTTATAATTTATAATGTTATCTTACTGTTAAAGTGGTGAATTTGCTCCTAGCATTGTGCTTTTTCTTCAGCATCTCTTGCTTTGCAATTTTATCTTTTATCACAAGCGTTGTGAAGTACTCTTGAAGAGCCACGATTCTATTTGAGTGCACATTTTCTCTATCAGGCCAGGCTCCACTAGCTGGGAAAAGAAAATATAAAATAAAATAAATTGGAACAACAAATGTAATAAATATTTATTATATTTTGATCTGCATATATAGATAAATGTATTATTTATATCTAGATGCAAATTTAGGTAACAATTTGTCATTTATTATTTATTATCTTACCAACAGTTTGGTCAGGTATCCCAACATCCCTAGAAGTCCACCGACAAGAAAAGCAAGCAAAATAGTACATCTTCCTGGTAATAGGTTTGGCATCCTTTCGTTCATCATCAGCTTTCACTGGCAATGCAACATTTGTAGCCCTCGTGGCCAATGTATGGAAGCAACAAGGACAGTTGAAACAATTTCCACATTTGTGCTTTCGGAGACGAGCTTCTGAGGAAGGAATATTCTCCAGACAGTTTACACAGTAATAGGAATCCACCTGGGAAAAAATAATAGAAATATATATATATATATATATATATATATAAGTATATGTATATTATATATGTGTAATTATTACCTCATGGTAGACACAAAATCCGCACCTAATTTTCAAACAGTGCCTACAAAAGTATATCTTGGTGATAGGTTTTAAAATTCCACACCCACACACATAATTAACAACGTTTTGGCCCAAAAAGTAAGCCATACTCGTTTAATACTATCAGATCATTAAAAAAATCTAGTTTATATCAATAACTATATTTATAATTTATATTTATAACAATAAATTACTAATAAATGTCATTTTGCATATTTTAACAAATCTTGAGAAATGTCACTTTTGGTTCACATAAAGTTGCAAAGATGGCGGTGCAAAAGTGTTACTAACTTCAGTTTGATTTAACGGTTGAAAATTTCAAATTAAAGCGCGCAAAGGTAAATGGTTAGTTGTACGTGAATAGTGTGTTTGGGAAAAATATACACAATAATAAAATGAAAAAAATGGTGTATAAATTGATATGTGTTTGCATATAAATTTTCTGAGATTTTTCAATTTTCCTTGCGAAGAGATGTATGATTTTTGATAAAATATATTTTATCAAAAACCATACATCTTTTCGCATTGTAGTATTTACAGTATTTTTTCAACTAATTCTAATTAATAATTATTGATAGTATTCTTTCTGTAAGCATCTAATAATTCTTTATGAAGTTCTGAAAAAAATTAAAAATAACATTAACCACATATTAAAAGGCAAAAATTATTTTGAAAGTTTTGCTGGACCTGCCTTTGCCAAAAACTAATCAGCACCATTTTTAACCATTCAAATCGGTTGATCCGTGCGCCCGAAAACGTGGACGAAAAAATGCGGACATACAAAACACACACGCACACACATACACACACATCCTTTTTTCTGAAGTGTGCCAAAATGTTCAGAAACCTTCAAAATGTCGAGAAATGCGAACATTTTCAATTTCGATTTTCGGCCCATTACTGTAACTACCCTATGGGAAGTTAATTAAAAGTATTTTGGTTATATATATATATATATATATATATATATATATATATATTGTATATATATATATATATATATATATATATATATATATACTTTGTATTTTTATTATCACAGACACATAAATCTTTGATATAATTTGACATCATTAAACTTTATGTGCTGTCTCGAGGGCAACACAAATCCATGCCTTGTAACTTAATATTGGCTCATATATAGTATATATATGATAAATGATCCTTATACACAGCAGATATATATATATATATATATATATATATATATATATATACACTAGCTGACCCGGCAAACGTTGTTTTGCTAAATAAGGTATATTCTAGACAATTTCTAGAGAATCAAAAATATTAATACTTTAAGTATATAAGGATGTGTTGTTTGAATGCTTCTTTCAAAAATTTGTTATCTAGACCTTTTTACCCTGTAGGCGGGGTAACTTGAAACGGGCAGGTGGCAAAAAGATTTAAAGCCTTATTATAGTTTTAAAGGTATTTTACAAAATAATTACATTTTTAACTAATGCTTAAAAACTACCAACGGAAGAAAATACTTTTATTATGGATTCTCAAAGATTACCGTTTATCTCCCCCATTTCAAAGATTACCGTTTTCAAATCAAGCTTGTAGCTGGCTATAAATCTTTTTTCCTCTACTTTCAAATATTGTTGTTAAACAATGCTTAACTTTACTGATTTTTGACAAATCGGTGGTTTTTTAACCCCGGACCTTCATATATTACAATCTATTCTGCGATAAATTCTGGGAAATTATAACTGGAAAAATGTTATTCGACAAAAGGTCCATTTGATCGATACCAAATTTAGGTTCTGAATTTAAATAACATAAATAAAAAATAATATAACCTAGAAAATGTTTTATAAATACCAATGAGCATATAATTATACAAATAAGATCTTTCAGAGCACCGTGTTTGAGAAAAATATGCCAAAAATGCATTTTCTTGGGGCCCGTTTACTAACGTTTTTGTATATAAATAAAACTACAAACAAAACTACTTACTACAAATTTATCACAAATAAATAATATTCGCGTAAAACATCCTATTAAACGTAATTGAACATCATCTGTCAAAAGCGTTTGACATTTCACGAAATTGCCACCGTCCTTTGTTTTATTTAAATTACGCTTCTACAAAAATTTTCAAATTAAAAATGTAAAGTTTCTACGCGGATTTGAAATAATTTCTCACCTTTTGGACTTTCTCTGGATTGGCACGAATTTTTCAAGACTAAGACTGGCCAAATCGATTCAGCCGTTTTCGAGTTTTTTCGGACATTTGAAAGAGAGCTCCATTTTTATATATAAGATATATATATATATATATATATATATTTATATATATATATACAAGTCAATAATAAACAACTACTCACCACCATAAATAAAAATTTATGCAATAAATTAATTTCTACAAAACTGGACGACACATTACAATTTCTTTTTACCGATATTACAATATTTCATTGACGACGATACTAATTATAAAAATTACAAGGCTCAAATGATTTTTGTCAGTTCCTCCGACGTAATGACTATTCAGATTCTCTGGCTGAGTTGTGATGGCGTTTCTTATCCAGTCTTGATACTAAAAAAAAATAAAAAAAGAGTGCGCGATTGAAGTAAAACTTATTTGCTACCGTACAAGATTTAAGTAAAAATAAATACATAACAATTTTGAATAATGTTTATTAGTAATATGGTAACTCTCGTGATGCACACTTTTATTAGTGCCAACACGTTATACACATTCATATAATGATAAATTATGAATTATATATTTATAATAGCATTAAAAATATGTATAACATTTAAATCAATAATGTAATTAAAGTCACACTTCGAATTAGCATTTAGGACTTCAACCCTCATTAGAGAAATGAAGCGATGCTGAGTTTTACTTCAAAAACTTACCTTGTCTATTCTTGTGTAGACAATTGGTGGATTTGGATGAAGAATAGAGCAAGGTTTCCAGGAAACAACGCCGTATTGAATACTGTCCCAGCCGCATACGAGGGGCGAACCTGGATCCACCTAAAAAAGAAAATGATTAACAAATTATATATATATATACTAGCTGACCCGGCAAACGTTGTTTTGCTAAGTAAGGTATGTTCTAAACAATTTCTAGAGAATCAAAATATTAATACTTTTAGGTGTATAAGGGGATGTGTTTGAATGCTATATACAATGAGGTATTATAAACCCCATTAGTTTGTCTATATTTTGTCAATACAATCAAACTGAAAGTTTTATACACTTTCTATAGAGAACATGGTATAATCCAATCCAAGTCATTTTTGGTCTTTCGACATATTGATTACGTTTCAAGTTTTCAGATTCTTTTTGGATTCTGGATTTTGTGTATAAGTGTAAATAATACTACTGAGCTTATACATAATTTTCAAATTTCTGCGAGGAGAGATAGAAAATGAATTAAGTATTTCTTCTTTGACCTGCTTTTTGTAAATTTAATAAAAAGTATAAACGTAGAGCAGGGCGAGGCACAAAGATCCAATTTGACTTTGAGCAAATATTAATTATATTATGAAAACCAAAACAATTATATCACAGCAAATAACACATTTCAAACGAACAATTATCTGACTATGTTCAGTAAAACTGCCAACTATTCATTATTGTAAAAATGTGCTCAAAAATTTGTTATCTAGATCTTTTTACTTCTAGAGTAACTTGGAACGGGCACGTGGCAAACAGGCTTAATGTCTTATTTTAATTTTAGAGGTAACTTACTAAAATAATTAAATTTTTAACTAATGCTAAAAAAACTACCAACGGAAAAAAATACTTTTTTATCGATTTTTAAAGATTGCCGTTTATCTCCCGATAGCAAAATCATAAGAATCAAGGGTATAGCTGGTTATACATCATTTTCCTTCTACTTTCAAATATTGTTGTTAAACAATGCTTAACTTGACTGGTTTTTGACACGTCGGTGGTGGACCTTTTTAACCCGGGACCTTGATATATTACTATTTATTTTTCGATAAATTCTGGGAAATTATAACTGGGAAAATATTATTCGACAAAATGTCCATTTGATGGATACCAAAGTTAAGTTCTGAATTTAAATAACATGAAAAAAAAAATATAACGTAGGAAATGTTTTATAAATAGCAATGAGTATATAATTATACAAATGAGATTTTTCAGAGCAGAAAAATATGCCAAAAAGTGCATTTTTGTAGTACATTTCAAAAAAATTGATATTTTGAGTTTCTAGTAACACTTGCAATTCGTTTAATAACGTTTTTGTGTATAAATAAAACTACAAACAAAACCACTTACTTCAATTTAATCATTATTTAATAATATTCACGTATAACATCCTATTAAACGTAATTGAACATCATCTGTCAAAAACATTTGACGTATTAGCTACCGTCCATTGTTTTATTTAAATTACGCTTTTACAACAATTTTCAAATTAAAAATATAAAGTTTTTACACGATTTTGAAATAATAATTCACCTTTCCGACCATCACTGGATTGGCACGAATTTTTCAAGACTAAGACTGGCCAAATCGGTTTAGGCGTTTTCGAGTTTTAGCGGATCATTTTATCGAGAGCTCCATTTTTATATATAAGATAAATAAAATAAAATATAAATAATTTTTACCGGCGCATCCTCAGAGTCAGACTCCTCCAAACTTCTCCGGAAAAGTTCTGATGGAACAAATTGTGTGCAGAATTCGTATTCGCTAAAAAATAATAACAATAAATAATTAACAATTTTTTTTCGTGAACATAATACTTGTTCATGAAATAAAAAAGTCCACCAGCAAGTGGTAGTATGTTTTTAATAGCTCTTTTCATACTTATATAAGTCAATTGAAACAAATATATATATATGCAAACAATATTATATTATGATAGTATAATGATATTCCTAGAACAGGTGTATACAATTTGTATTTTTATATAAATGTATGTATTCAAGTCAAATATAGCAAATTTTCAAATTAAAAAAAAAAAGAAGTCCTCCAGCAATGTTCCAATTTTTGTAAAAATTATATGTAGTTTTATTACCTCAGAATGGTATCATAATGAGGATCCTCAGTCAACAATTCATGGCAATCTGCCGAAGACAATCCTTTGAGCTGAAATGCTGATTTCATCCTGAACTGTTCGTAATACTGATCGTACTTGTGATGATCGTGATCGTGTAAATTGTCGCTCCTTGGTTTTCCGTGATTTTGGGGATCATCAGAAAACCTAAAAATTGCATGCTACTGACGGAGCTACTCAACAATCGAAATTCTACTCAATTTCAATCCAACAAATCATCAAATGACAATTCCACGTCAGTGCCAGGACTCGAACCGAGTATCACTGGACTGACCTATTTCCTTTTAATATTTTTATTCCTACCTCGGAACATCCGAAACCTTCCTTTCAAATTCCATGGACGGCCAGTAGAAAGACGATGCATCGTTGGAATCCAATGGCCCCTTATTCTTATTCAGTTGTGAAACATCTTGGAAACAAAAACAAAAACACAATTAAACTTTTGAAATAAATTTTACTCATAATTTTTTTCATAAAATTACTTATATCCAAACAATTTCGAATACCTCTAGACCCGACGACATTCGGTTTTGCAGGACTGTGTTTCGAATATGATATGTCGACAGGATCGTCTCGTCCTGGAATAAAAATTCACAACTAATATTAAATAATATATTATGAATAAATAGATTCATTTAGACTGCAATTACCTCCATAACCGAACCTGGTCCTGATCGAACCCAAATGAGCACCGAGCTGGTCGGGAAGTAATGGTTCCACTTTCGGATTTATATTGGCGGACGAAACTGTAATAAAAAAAAAAGAAATTAGGTATAGTATATATTTCAAATAGCCGGGCCAGCTAGTATATATATATACTAGCTGACCCTGCAAACGCTGTTTTGCCATAAAAAATATTTCGAGTATAAAATGTTTAGTACAAAAATAACTAAGTAATTGCAAATCTGGTGCACAAGTAAAAGGAGCAGCTAACAAAAAATATATGAATAGTTTACCCACTGCAAAGCACGCCACATATAAATGTCCCTTAATAATAGTCTTTGCAAGAGCCAACAAAATCTGACGCTGATTCTATTTAAATTGAATTGGCACATTCAAATTTTCAAGATTTTGATATATTATTACCGTGCTTTTGCATTAATTCATTATTTTTTTTAATTACAAATCGAAATATGATAATTCATTTTTATATTATATTGTTATGTGGGATGTCCAGCGAATTGACTAATATTGAAAAAAAATTAAGAGAGTGGAAAATTTTACAGTTTTGCCATAAATTTGTATGGTGCCTATAGTTTCCTATCAAAAACTTTTGTATCTTCAGATTTTAATATTCAATCTCTTCATTTTTTTGCAAAAATTGCTCTTTATGCAAACAATTTATCAACTATGTACTGTTTGTGCGCATCGGGAAATATTTGTACAATGGGAAAATGGGAGGACTGGGCAAATCTTGACAAAAATAAATCGTTTTTCAACGGCCTTCTATTGCATTTTCACAGATTTACTCTCTAGTAGCGCCTAAAGAAGTTTTACTTCAAAAATACATATTAAAAAAGCCGGGCCAGCTAGTATATATATAATAGGAAAAAGTTGTTCAATTAAAATTCATGTTTTATCATAAGGTCAGGAAAATATGATCATTAAAAATCTGTAAAAAACACTCACTGACTAAAATGGCTTTTATGAAAAAGAGATTTGTAGAAGGAGGGTGAAAATTTAGAGTTGTGTAAATTAAAATGAAGAAAATTGATTCCAAAATTTAAAAAAATATTAGGGACGAACAATCCTTAATAAAAATAAATGGTTTTTCCAAGTAAAAAGAGTTGCACGTATTTCGTCTCTATGCAGCTAAAGCAGTGCGGTTGCTTTGAAAAAAAGTTCAAGATTTCGAAAATATTTCAAAACAAAAAAAAACTATTAGGGTGTATGGCATCGTGCCTTAAGGCAAATTGCTGGAAATTTTCCGTACCGTAACAAAATGATCAAAGAATATTAAACGTTTTAAAATAGATTATTATTAATATTTTAACATTGTCTAATATTTATAAGAATTATATAAATTGAATTGCAAAGTTGAAATTATTTGTTTAAAGTATATTAGAACTATAGTCAGAATTAAAAATAAAATTTGAATTATTTTCGATATACAAAAAAAAAATTATTTGAAAAAAAAAGTTGAAATTTTTTTATTTCAAAATCAATTATTTTGTTAAGACAAGCAGAAAGTTCTTTGAATCATTTAAATCGGACGCTTAATTCTCTCAAAAACTCCCATTTTTTACATATTTAGCTCCGTATCTTCGAAATGGCGGGACCTGTCTTTGCCAAAAACTAATCACCTCTTCTCCCAATCATTACAAATTGAATGTTTTTTAGATCATTCAAATCCGATACTGCGTTCTCCCAAAAACTCGATTTGTATTTTTTGCACTCTTGGCTTCGTATCTCCGGAACGTCTGGACCTGCCTTCGCCAAAAACTAATCAGCACATCTCCCTATCAAAAGGAATCGAATGTTTTTTGAACCATTCAAATCGGTTGGTCCGTGCGCCCAAAAACGTGGACGAAAAAATGCGGACATACAAAACACACACACATCCATTTTTTCTGAGGTATGCCTTAAAAATGTTCAGAAACCTTCAAAACGTCGAGAAATGTAAAAATTTTCAATTTCAATTTTTGGCCCATTACAATAACTTACCCTACGGGAAGTTAAAAAAAATCATTAAATTAAAATAAAAAAAAAAATATTAGATACATGTTGATACATACTTGTTAATATCAATTTTAGTTTTAAAAACAATTAAGCTCAGGTGTTGTCTGTTCCGAGCAATTTTAATTAATTAATTTTAAACATCTAATTGTTTTTTTTGTTTAATAAAATATGATTTCAAAAAACTGAGAACGTTTATCGAATTGCTACTTAGACGTGTCACTCACAAAATTTCCTGAAATAGAAAATACTCTCATACTTGCGACCAAATTATGCTTTATTGTTTTTAAAGCCTGATATAATTCTAAGTTTTTTGTTCCTTCATTTTTGGCTTCTAGGGTTTAAAACTCTTTTTTTTAAGATAGAATAGAGAAAGTTACTTCTTCAAGAAGAAGTCACATTGATTTAAATTAATATATACACTGGTATAAAAATCTAAATTAATATATAGAAAACCTTTCTGGGAACCATTGCAGATTGATAAGATATGAAATGATTTTGAACCGATATGATTTCAAGAATCAAAACGCTTTCATCTATATTTTATATTTGATTATAGTTGTCATTTTCCCATATACACTAAAAACCGACTTTTTTCGCTCAAAAACCGGTTTTTGGAAACCGATAAACCCTAATAGTAACACAAATGAATTCAAGGTTACGTGGCACATGCGGTAGAGAGAGAGAGTGGTTGAAGAGAAGTTTGATTGATTTTATAAATGATCTATTTGAAATTTATCTCGCAAACACTAAGCTATTAGCCTTGCGACTTGTTAATTGTCATTGCGAACGCAAGGCGAACTGGAAATTGCAATCGTTTGAAGTCAAACGGAAGACCAGTCGGAATCATTGGTATGTCACCAAATCGCCAGCAATTTTTGATTCAATGGTGAAATTCAGTGCGTGTACATCATATTTCTTGGCGAAAAGAAAATTGATTCCAAAAAGTTAAAGATGAACAAATCTTGATAAAAATAATTAGCATTCCAAACTAAAAATTGTTTTATCTATTTCCAATTATATATAATTACTTTTCCTCTTACGCCTCTCCGATCCGTAAACTCTTTCGTCTGCCGCCTCCGACACCAGCCTCGGCAATTGCTTATGAGGCACCGGATAGGACACTCCGCCCTTCTGCTCCGAATAACCAGGAGAGACTGCGTCGATCCAGACGCAGCAGCGGCACTCCTCCGGCAGGGAAAAGTTGCCGGCATCTGATATGGGCGAAGTCAGGGACACCTCTACTGTCGGCTCTGGTAAAAGAAATACAGACACATTACACAAATTTAATTGTTGAACGTAAATTTAGCCCTAGGTTTAATCCAAATTTATATATATATATATATATATATATATATATTTTATATATTAGATTAATTAAGCAAAATATATTATATATTTTACAAATATTTTACTATGTTCTGTTCAACAAAATAATAATTTAAAAAAAAAACAAGTTAGTGTATATATAATAGTGCAAAATTATGTGCCTTGCGCTAGCTACTGATGTAAGACCATATTTATGTAAGTTAGCTTCGTTGTCTATATATATGTATGTGTCTGTATTGCATATGTATGTATATTTATATATATATATGTATAAGTATATATGTATATATGTGTATGTATGTATATATGTATATGTGTATGTGTATGTATGTATATATGTGTATATATACATATGTACATGTCCGTATGTATATGTTTATATATACGTATTATTCGTATGTATATATGTATATGTGCACGTGTTTGTACATGTATATCATATATACATGTTTGTTTGTGTGTATATTTATGTATATATATTACGCTTTTGTATGTTTGTATATATTTCTTTTTACTTTTCATTTCTCTTGTTTATCTAGCTGTTAAGTATATTTGTTATTGTTATAATTATATTACTTATATCTATAGTTCTTTTTCCAATTTCTGTCAATTTTTCCCTAGTTTATATTAATTTTTCAATATTCATTCTGTAGATCCACTGATGATGACATAAAATACTATGTCGAAACGTTTGGAAAAATTAAAGATTAACTTCTAAATCTTTGCCTTTTATTTGATGTATTGCCCTTGAAGAACTTACTCATATTTCTCAACATCAAAACTAACTTCTCTAACATATATGTATATATATATATATATATATATATATATATATATGTATGTATACTAGATGACCCGACGGACGTTGTCCTGTACCCACGTCTACAATTCAATAGTTCCAATTTTTTTAATAACCTATACTGATATTTACAATTAATGTTTTTTACAACAATAAATAGATCATAGATAAACAAGTATAAATTGATGGCAAACACGAGTGCTTTGATATGAAATAAATTTTAATTCTTTCAGCATATCATAGATGTCGTCACCAAACAAAGCACGTAAATTTACCCTCAGGTTCAATTCTAGGATAAGATTTATATATAGCAAATGACCCGACAGACGTTATCCTGTACCCATGCCAAATTGTACCGATCTTTGCCAATTTTTTCTTTTTGCCGACGATACAAGTTTAATTATTAAAGGAAAATCTTTTGAAGAAGTCAGTTTTAAACTGAATCAATCAATGATTTCAGTTTCTAATTGGTTCAACTCTAATAACCTTTTACTTAATAACGATAAAACTAAAA